TGTGTACTATGTAGCAGTATCCATAGCCATAATATCATGTGTACTATGTAGCAGTATCCATAGCCATAATATCATGTGTACTATGTAGCAGTATCCATAGCCATATTATCACGTGTACTATGTAGCAGTTAATATTACTCGCTTTAGGGATAGGCGTATGTATAACCTTGACGCACTCAATACTCGTAAAATAACTCGTTCATGAAGAGTAAATGGGACGAGGGAAACACAATATCAGTAGACGCTAGTCGCATAGCTGGACTGCAGATACAACTCATTCTTTATAAGATCACAAGCTGCGCAAGGTAAGTTTAGTGTCAGAATGCGAGATCTTCTTAGAAAGGTACATGCATTATTAAAAATAACTATATCTAAACAACATTCAACTTCACTTAATGATCACGTGCGATAACAAATCATGTAATAACTCCGTATGTTCACTATCTTCTCTTTAACAATCAAAAGCATCAAAAGTTACCCCTACTGAACGTCCTTGGACATTTCTAGAGTGCTCCATATTGATTTCCATTGAGAACAAACAAACAGACATACATTCACAAATATGTATTAGATATATTATATGGTCGGACAACTTAGGTACATAGGACCATGGCCTGTCGCTCATTAGCAATGTCGTGGCTTGTATATTGAGAAGGCTACTTTTTATTTGCCTTGCGGCGCGACAAAAGTTGTAGTTCCAGTGGAGCGAGTAAATGTAACTTTGACCTACTTCCTTCTGTAAACAACTACCATGAGGCTAGTAGGAATACGCGAACCCAGAGGCACAAGTCGCGTGTAGCTGGACGGGAAGGCGTGTATACATAGAAGTCGTTCTCTGCAAGAGCCCGCGCAACGCGAGGTAAGTATAATGAAAGAATGTAAGTGTTTAAGAAATTATGTTTGAATTAAAATTGACAAAAATAACAAAACGTAAGCGGGATTCCCGTTCATACAAAGATCGCATATAAAACACAATATGTATCGATTGGTACATGTCTGTGTCAAGCTTTAGCAGTTATACTTAAGTCAAGTATGCCAATAAACTTTTTATAATACACTTTGACGTGAGAATACCTTAAACTTACACTGGTCTCTATATAATCATGTGTTAAACATCTAGTATGGCACCATTACGAGTGGCTGTGATTGGAGCTGGGCCGTCAGGGTTGATTGCTGCCCGCATGCTTGCCTCACGACCGCAAGATTTCGAATTCGAAGTCTATGAACGTGGATATAACATCGGTGAGTGGAAGCCATGTATTACCTACAAGACATCTCCGTATAGAAACGTATGTCATCAGTTGTTCGCCTGCTAGATTTGTCTTTCTCATGACAAATGATCTAAATCGGTGCATATAGGCAGCATGAAAAATTGTCGGGAGAAAATCTAATGGCGCTGGCACAAGGAATGAGGGTTGATGTCCGATGCATTGTAACGTTTTTTGGAAGAGGAAGTGAGGTTGAAGGGCCACCATATCTCCCCGTGCATCAATTAACGCTTGTAAACACCTGGAAGGTTGGCACTTACTTACTTATCCTCCTCACTCCCAGTGNCGGAAATCGCGGCGAAAACATTTGCATCCGCATGCGATAATTGAGCGGACAAACCATGTGAATTTATTCGCAGGTCCGCGGCGATCATATCCGCAGCGGAAATCGCGGCGAAAACATTTGCATCCGCATGCGATAATTGAGTGGACACACCATGTGAATTTATTCGCAGGTCCGCGGCGATCATATCCGCAGCGGAAATCGCGGCGAAAATATTCGCACCCGCATGCGATAATTGAGCGGACACACCATGCGAATTTATTCGCACGTCCGCAGCGTACACACTACACGCGATCTACTGGCGCCACACGGCTCCACCATGGCTCCAAAAGTCATGTGGTCACATGATTAGCATACTGATCAATGATTCGCTGCATTATAACAATCGGTCACACCAACAATAGGACACACAATGCGAATTTATGCGCACGTCCGCACGTCCGCAGCGAAAATATCAAACATGTTTGATCACTCTTTTGTATGTTTTGAATGTTTTGAACATGTTTTGTACACTGCGAATTTCTGTGCGGATGAAATTCGCAGCGAAATTCGCCCGCGCTTGAGCGGACACACCATGCGAATATTTCTGTAAGGAAAGTACATTATTAAAGAAAATACATTATTAAAAATTAGAGGCGGTTGAGACGGTCCATCCAGTATTGATTTAAGAGTTGAATAAACTGTTCAGGTAAATATCATTAATTGATCATCGCCTATAGTTTTTCCATACATGATGTTAACATATGTCGAGTTGATGCTACGTGGGATTGTACTGATACATAGATAACACATTATGGAGGTAATTATTTGGATTAATTACTGATGGAATAAGTAGTTCGTACATTGAGTATTAATTCCTGTAACAAATTTAGTTCCAATGAAACGAAAACTGTTGATATCACCGAACAACATATTTTCTATTAAAAGAAAATCTGCTGTTAGAAAATAGACGACAATAAAGGGTTTTGGCCCTATTATATATCACTCAATTATCAGCTTTCGCTGCATCATTGAAATATACTCTTTATATCTTCTTACGCAACAATATTATGCTATTAATTATCACCTATTACGTATCACTATAATAAAATGTGGCAATTAAGTCATCACTATTCGTCTATCTATCAACTCGTCAACTTTTCAACAGAAGGTTCATAGTGTAAATACAGATGTTTTCAATATTAGCACCTATTACATTTGACTAATAATTATGTGGTTATCACAATTGCTAAGCTACTCTGGAGACTTGTATACACCTACACATGTGTTTCAAGCAAAAGTGTTCATTCTGAAAGCGCCTGTTGCCACAGCTAAGGCGGAAATACTATGGATATGTGCAAACATTTCTCACATCCCGTCTATTGCAGCAGATGATATACTTAGAAATGCTAACGTCTTAGTAGCCGTTAGAAATTAACCGTAACCCAAGCGACAACATTTTATGTCAAACTGTAAAGAGGTTTTCAAATACATGCGAATCGCTCACAATCGTGAAGATCTCGTGGCCCATGTATTCCCGCGTTCTAACTACGTCATGTATTCTAAATATCTTTGTTGTCGCAGTTATTATGGCCGGACGTTGTCGTGTGTGTGCACTGGAAAGAAATGTCTATAATTTTTCCAAATGTCTTCAAATGTTAAGGTTGGTCGTTGTCGCCGCAGTCTTGTCCAGTTAAATGTGATTGTCCCCACTTAACATATCCCGAGCTAAACGTGAAAAACAGATAGAGTTATAGTGTTAATTATGTTCCCAGACTTTACTAATGATCGATAGCCACCTGGGGCAGTGAAAAAAATACACGGGGGCTCGGGGCGATTTAGTCCCCGAAATGCCAAAAAGAGCCCCCGTAAATTTGCATAGATTTCAATGCAAACCAAATTTTAGAGTGCTATAATCATGCACGCAAGTTTAAAAAGTGGCCCCCGAAAAATACATTTTTATTTTTTCCCTGATCTGAGGCACCATACTACAGTTTGTTAGCGACACGATGTTTACCAATACGAGTATAACCTTGGCCTGCTTAACCCTAGTGCAAATAAACTATCCGGGGGCTAGAGAAACGCAAAACCGGTAGGCGCTAAAGTCGCCTAGCTACGGCTATAAATATGCTTAACCCTATCAAGTCCCATACAGTACGTAGCGTATGCACACGCAAGTTGTTCTCTGCAAGAATACAAGCAACTCAAGGTAAGTTTACTGTTAGAATGCGCGTTTTCGAGAAATAACGTATACATTTTCAAACGTAACAAATTGTAAACAAGATTTATAATCATACAAAAAATCCTACACATCAAAAAGTATATAAAGAAATGTATATGTCGGTTTCATGCTTGAGTAATACAGTAGCATATATTCGGACCGGCTTTATCTGGCCTCAAATAAACGGGCGCATGTGTTTGAAAAACAATCCTTACGCATGTTAGTTTAATCGGATAAACAAGACAGGACCTCGGTTAAACGGAATATTATCTGCAGGACAAACTTAATTTAAGTGACCGTCGTAAAACAATCTTAAACTTAAAAGCAAACTGACAACTATCGCGACAGATTCGCGGTCCCTGCCCTCAGCGGTCCTGTTAAAGCGGGAACAGTCTGGACTTCAAAATACAGTTGTTAACATAATGAGTTAATAGGTTAATTTTACCTCTTAAGTTGTAATAATTCTATATATTGATAAGCCTTCGTAATGGCAGCAATATGCAAAACTGCATTTGAATCGGTTGTTTATGATACATATCTACGTATGTCTGACGTAACGTCCGTAAAGCGCATATCCCCAAAACCTGTCTCATCAGGAGATGCCCACCAATTCCCCAACAGGCCGCTGTTGCTGCTACTGCTGCTGCTGCTACTGCTACTGCTACTGCTGCTGCTGCTGCTGCTGCTGCTGCTGCTGCTGCTG